GGAGGTCGGCGTAACCTGACTGCTCGAACTGGTGCGTGCCTATCGAACAGGTTGAGAATTTGGGTGTTCAAATGAGCAATTTTGTCTTCCATATTATTTGCATCCAGCAATGGGCCCCATTCTGTATTCTTAGCATCGCGGTGTAGTCGAATGGCGTCAATTTTATTGAAATTGCGTAAATACACAATCACTGGCTTTGGCTTGGGAGGCTTTAATTTATACGACATGACCAAAAGATCGTGTCGAGAAAACGCGGGAACAGCCAGTTGATCATGATATAAAACATGATCCGCTAAACTAGTGCAAATGATGTCTAACCATGAATCTTCGGTGTCCACGTTGTGGTGAGTTGGACTAGATGGTAGAATATAGAGATAATATCGCAGCAGCGTGGCTCTACTACGTATCAAAAGTTGAAATGTTATATAACAAACTATTCCAGATGAGTCTGTGAACATGTTCAAGATTACTTTATTATTATTTACATCAAATTTGATAAACAACAAATCCTCGTATATGAACACCGATTCCTACCAAGGATGATAAGCGATGCTATTAAATTAGAAAAAAAAACATCCTAATTTATTTAGAGAAGATGGATGGGTGCTGCCAGCTGATTGGGATCCTATAATTAACAAAATTAAATCCAAACTCAGGCATACCAATGCAAGACTAGACTGCAAAGTGGTAGAGCCATGCTGCAGTTATATTAGTAGTATAGTTTTAGCACGAATGGGTCGGCTCGACCGGGGAAGGACCAGGCCCTCGCAGAATACCAGCGTCAAATAGTAGCTTAATGCTGCTGTGTTTCGTATGGTGAGTGTAGAGACCCGGAGCCCATTTTTACTGGAAACGGGGCATTCCATCTAAGTCCTTACGGATGACAACACATCTGCATTTTGATTCGTAATCGAGGATAGATGTAGATGTCTATGGACCACAGCAACTACTTAGCATCTGGTGGACCGTGTGCTCGTTTGTCATCTTATCTAATATTAAAAAAAACTTCAAGATACTGTAAGCTGGGTCTGCATAGATCGTACCAAAAATTAATATTCAGAAACTGAAGTTAGCCCCCTTCCTAGCCTCCATCTCAGTCCCCCCCGTGAACATACGTGCTGTAAAGCACCCGAAACGGCCCGATAATAAAGTAGGTAAATGAAACGCAATTAAATCCGTAAAAATTGTTTCATTCCATCTCAGGAAGATAGAATGCCGACAACTAATCGCTCTTTATCCGCTTGACATTTGTAATGTTTAATTATAATGATAAGACTAACAATAATCTACTAATTGAACTTGAATTGTGAGTAAAATAAAATAGACGTATCAGCATATAATTGTAAACAATTTTCTATTATAAATATAAACATTGATTGAATATGTAAGTATTGGATTAATAAATAAGCCAAAGAAAATGTCATAGATTATCTTAAAGTAATTAGACATTACACACTTTTACTATGGATATATGCACTGTGCTATTACTCATCATATTTCGTTTGATTTTAGTATATATTAAAAACTAAAGAAATAGTCACTTGTTCGTCTGGAACTTATAGGTCCCATGCGTGCGAGTAATGTGTCAACTTTGTTTCATAGCATATTGTAAAGGGCGAATAATGTGATATGGGTTGTGTGAATTCTTTCACACATTTTTTATAGGATAGGTTGACAAACGAGCGCACAGTCCACCTAATGGTAAGTGGTTGCTGTGTCCCATAGACATCTACATCTATCCTCGATTACGAATCAATATGCAGATGCTTTGTCACCCATGACGACTAATGTGGAATGCCTAATTTCCAATCAAAAGGGTCTCCGGTTCTGTACACTCACTATACGAAACACAACAGCATAAAACTGCTATTTTACACTGGCATTCTTTGAGAGCGTGTTACTTCCTCGTTCGAGCCGAGCCATTCATGTTTCAACTATAATATAACTGCAACATTGCTCTAACACGTATAACCATCCATAAAAACCTATATTTTTTGGTTAAATGTGGTTGGTAGTAACTTTGCCCTGCCTACCCTCTCAAGTATAGCAGCTATGTCTTGTCATAATACGTGAATAAAAGTAAAGTAAAAAGTAAAGTTACAGCCTATATCCGTTCCACTGCTGGGGACAGGCCTCTGCTCATTTCTGAGAGGGTTTTAGGGCAAGGAATTGTCCGCCGCGCTACCCCAATGCGTGTTGACGAACTTCGCATGTCTTTGAAATATTTTTTTTTACTGACATGCAGGTTTTCTCACGATGTTTTCCTTCACCGCCGAGCACGTGGCAAATCGGCACTTAAAATTGCAATTAACAATTTCATTGGTGCCGGCGGAAATCGAACCCGATTTGCTCGCGTATTGTGAAATTTACAGCGAGCGCTAACCATCTGAGCTACCACGGCGCATACGTGAATAACGGAATAGTAAATGATTTTACGGGTTTTACTGTATTTTTATAACCATTTAAATTTATTAATTAAGATTTAACTTTTACTACGTCATCGATTACTGTGGGTTTTATTGTTTAAGGTAGACTATTTATTCAGGCTTTCGGTTTTTTAACTTTTCCACTAACAAAAATATCTGGAATTAAAAAAAAATTATATTGTTTTTGAAGCAAGAATCGAATTTTAATGTTATTTAAATACTACTACTGGATCGTAATGTGCAGAAATTATTTAACCCATAAAAATAAAGTTGTTCAGATTTTGAATGACTTTTTCTCGAGTATGAAAACCTATTATCATTTTAAATAAAACTGAATTTAGATTTGGAATTATTTGTTATTTTTCAAAAGTATTTTTTAATTAACAGAGCCGCGCAGTATTATGGCTAAAACACGAATGGGTCGGTTCGAGCTATGTTTTTAAGTCAGTGGTTCGAGCGTGGCAGGACTACGCTCTCACAGAATACCGGCGTAAAATAGCAGCTTGATGCTGCTGTGTATCGTAGGGTGAGTGTAGAGGACCGGAGACTCGAAACGAGGCGTTCAATCTTAGTCATTATGGATGACACATTTTGATTCTTAGGGTATGTTCCGAAATACAACGCAGTGTACTGTCCAATGCAAATGACGTCATCATTTGACACTTTATTGTACTAGCGTGCCGCCGCCATATTGTGTTGGATATCCGGCCATAATAAAACAATTTTTAATTGTGTGTTTGCCGAATGAAGCATGCCAGAATTTGTTTCTATTTATTCAAATACAAAAAATTATAGAATAATTTATGGTATATTCATAAGGAGGATATAATGATTTTTGGAGCACAAAATGACAAAATAATCGCCAAAACTCTTCCAAATGGCGCAAAAGTATGACGTCATATACTGTCCAATGTTTTGGAACGAATCACCAGTATAGCGTCGATTCATGACGTCATTTGCATTGGACAGTACACTGCGTTGTATTTCGGAACATACCCTTAATCGAGGATAAATATAGATGTCTATGGGCTACAGTTCCTGCTTACCATCAGATGGACTTTGTGCATATTAGTCAAACTTATTAAAAAAAATCATGTGCATGATCTGGATGTTTGTCGTGGTGAAATTTATGTATGTAAATTGACTTTTCTAAATCCTAGTGTGGAGGTAACGTATTTATAAAAAGGAGGTAAGGTATTATATGAAAGTGTTTCATACTTGTAAATACACTAAAAAAGAGCCTCTGGATCATTATATTGGTCAGTGTGGGTTGGATCATTTCTGCACAACACAGTCCTATTTTTCATGAAATTTAGTGTCCAGGGAGTTTCGGGGGGAATAAATCGATCTAGCTAGAATTCATTTTAGGAAAATGTTTTTTATCAATGTTTTCAGGCAATGAAAAACTGCTACAATATCGTTAGAATACAAAGGTAAATTTTAATAATATGTTAATGGTTATAATAGCTCAATTGGGATACCAGTGGTGCCGAAATCATAGTAACCCTAGTTCGAGTCCTGATTATTTCCCTTTTTTTTTCAAGTTGTCTTCTTTTGTGAGAAAATCTTTTATTTCGAGCCCTTTTTTTAGTATTTTTTTTTAAATAATTGCTCTCATGATTTTTTTATTTAAATAACTAGTTCAGTTTTTTCTATTATATCGGTAAGATCTAAAAATATTATTCATGCTTCATTAGTATGTAATTTGTATCTAAATATAATTTCCGAAAAACACGATTTCCAAAAACAAAAATACCTAGCAAAGTTCGGTCATCCAGGTACTGTTTTTAATATGGCACTGATTATAATTATTCTTTCATCAATTGATCATTCAATTTCTACTGTTTTTAACTTGTTACATAATAGTTTAATATTATTGAATACCTTTCATTATATTATTCTAATTAGAATATTATGTTAATAAGTTTTTACTTTCAGTTTCGCGTAAACGTAGTCAACGTTGACATTTGAATTTTATTAAGACATAAATATACAGCTTTTTGTAAATATGAGTATAATCATACAAATTATATCGTCTTAATTATTTGCTCCTCATCATCATCATTATTTCAGACAGTTGCAACCATTACGGACAATGTCGATAGGTCTCCCTTGTAATCTACTACAAAGTACGGTGTACCGGGGCATTTACAACTGTATAGGAATTTTCGTAAAATTTGATCCTCTAGTGATGTGAATGGCCGAGTCGGGAAGGGACGCCCTAGGAAAAAGTTTATCGACCACATTGGCGATATTTTGAAAATGGGCCACGTTAGAAGTACCCTTAACCGACGAGCATGTATGCGTAGATATATGGATGTAAAGGAGGCGAAAGAGGTATGTCAGGATCGTGTCAAATGGAAGTCCGTAGTCTCTGCCTACCCCTCTGGGTGACAGGCGTGAGTGTTTATGTTTATGATCCTCTAGCTCTAGTTGCTCAAATATTCATAGCCCTTAATAAATAAGTGTTAATGTTGCATTTGAGGGACTTTGCTATAAAGTTTTATTCAACGATTGGGATATTTACATTTTTATATATTTTTCTTTTTGAATAATTTGCATTATTAAATCTTTTCAGAGGTCGTGTAATAAAATAGTCATACTTACATAGTCTTCCCGTAAAGGAAACGCAGTGTATGGAACCGGCTGCCAAACCTTGCCCAAGCCTTCGTCCCACTGTTGAGCTACTTCTGGAGGGTACACGGCCGCCATTGCGACTTCAGCTGTCATTTTTGTCCGCTCCTTGACCGTACTCCTAACTGATATCTCGTCTTGAAGATAGATGTTTGATAACAACTTGAATCCCTGGGAGCCATAACGTTTTCGGATAAACTTTCCGATTTGGAAGGCTGTGCGTTTGCCAGGCTGAAGAATTCCAATGATGTATGTTATATTGTTACATCATATAGGATAGAACATAATAATTTTCATTCAATACAGATTATAATAAAATACTTAGCAAAAGTTAATAACTATTAATTACCACTGATTCGGAAAAAACACAGTCCTTGGAAGCACCAGCAAGATACCCAGCGAGATTATATTTTTCATAAGTTTGCAAGTAGGCAATTTCAAAAATATATTGCGATGCTAACGTTAGTATATTTGTTTCTTTAAATATTTCTTGACAGGCCCATTCTCTGAGGGACTCTTTGTAATTTAAGTTATGTATTAATAGTACGACCAGCTTTTCTAATCTAACATGGGTTTAAAGTCAGTCGCATTCATAGCAAAACCCTATATCAAAATTCTATAAGATATAACGCTATGAAAGTAACTGAAATAAACTAATCTATCTGCTTGCTCATTTAAATATAGAACCCGTTAATAGTAATTCTAACGAAAACCATAGAATCTACAATAATCAATTCCAACCCATTTAGGAGACCATTGGTTTTCGTATGTTTTACATTAGGTATGGTAAATTTAATATTTTTTGTTTTGTTGGCATTTAAAAGTAAAATGATGGTGTTAAAACTATGTACTTATTTCGATATACCATTAAGGGGAAATATAATGTCAAATGGCTTAGCAAGATCCTTCGTTATGCCGAAAATATTGCAGCATTAATTTTGAAATAAATATATGGTAAAGTTGAGGATTAATGTTAATGATTATGTTAGACGAAAACACGATTTCGTAAAATTTTCTCGATAGAAAAAAAATCCAAAGTTACCTCCAAAATAAACAATAAACCGCTGTTATTCATAAAATACTTTAAATAAGATCATGAAACTTTGCATACTAACTGAACTAACTATAAAGCAGTGCTTTTGTTATTTACTTTTTTTAAAATACCATTATTTTCACTGTAAAAAGAAATTACCTAAACTATCGGCGTCTTGAGCTTGATTCCTGTCGCACCGTTAGTATCGCTTAGGCTTTTGAAGGGAGAAGTTGTGTCGCTTACGATCAGAATATACATTACGCAACAGGACGACGTAAAATTAAAATGGGAAATAACCGTGATAAAAATAAGAAGCGGCTGGCTTGGCGTTAAGAAACAGGCATAAATATGATAAACCTAATGAAATAAGTGTCTAACGACCTTTCTACTTACAGTATTAGTGATTACAAACATATCGGTACATAGCATACGACGCGCGGGGAAGTGGGGGCGAAATTAGAATTTGACCTGACTTACTCTATCCTCTTAATCGCCTCGTCGTAATTAGTTAATTGCCATTTGAGTTTGAAAATTACAAAGGTACCTATCGTAAAATAACATATATTTTATATTTATTTAAAAGAATATACATTACGCAACAGGACGACGTAAAATTAAAATGGGAAATAACCGTGATAAAAATAAGAAGCGGCTGGCTTGGCGTTAAGAAACAGGCATAAATATGATAAACCTAATGAAATAAGTGTCTAACGACCTTTCTACTTACAGTATTAGTGATTACAAACATATCGGTACATAGCATACGACGCGCGGGGAAGTGGGGGCGAAATTAGAATTTGAGCTACCCATCCCTAAGTTAATGCCATTTAGTTTAAAATTACTTCGTTAACTTTATATTTATTTAAAAAAAGAACAAGAAACAAGGAGTTATCGTACAAAAAACCTTTTTTTTTAAAAGTTAGCTAAAAATAATCAAATTACACGGGAAGAACTCTCATGTTTTATATTTAGATAATATGTGGGTCAACCTCGTGTCTGACGCCACGTGAGGTCATTGTATATTGTAACCTCTAACGATACCGCAGAGAACAGACTGTGAACTTTATCATATCTCTAGCGTTACATTCAGTATTTATCTACTCATACATGTCCGTGGTAGCTCAGAGCCTAAGCACTCGCTGTAAATTTCACAGTACGCGAGTAACCCGGGTTCGAGCCCTGCCGGCACTAATGAAATTATTAATTACAATTTTAAGTGCTGACTTACCTCGCAATCGGGGATAAGGGAAAACATCTTGAGGAAACCTGTATGTCTGAGAAATAAGAAAAAAATATTTAGAAGACATGCGAAGTTCAGAACTGAGAGAAGGCCTGTGCCCGGCAGTTGAACGTATATAGGTTGGGACTTTTTATACGTGGAAGAGCCACGGGGTCGGCTCAACCTGGGCAAGACCACGTTCTCACAGAATACCAGCGTAAAATAGCAGCGTAATGCTACTGTTTTTCGTTTGGTGAGTGTAGAGAACCGGATACCATTTTTACTGGAATCGAGGCATTCCATCTTAGCTCTCAGGGGTGACAAAGCATTTGCATTTTGATTCATAATTGCGGATAAATGTGGATGTCTGTGGGCTACAACATCCACTTATCATCAGGTGGACTGTGTACTCGTTTCTTACCCAATGTTATAAAAAAAAAAACTTTTAACTTTAACTAGGTACTCATTTATTCATTACCACCTGTCACAGTCCCATTATAAGGTGGATATTTACATTTCCATAATTGCCATTCTATATGCCACGTTTACAGTTAAAAGAGGGTCTCGGATTATCTACACTCACCATACGAAACACAGCAGAATTAAGCTGCTATTTTATGCTGGTATTCTGTGAGAGCGTGGTTCTTCCCCGTACATTCTTGATACATAAAAATATTTTTATAGTAGATTCTTAATATATATGAAATAAATTTTCCTTCAATTTTTGCCTTTATTACTTATTCTGAATCTTCTGTGCAAATTTGGCCAGTTATTACTAAATAACCCTGTATATAAAAGAAGTTTCGAACAAAACGATAGTTTACGAGATAATCATCGAAAACCGTATGTTTTATCATTTTTGTATTTCAGATAAATTATATAATAACAATATTTTTGGGATTAAATGTAGCCCAGATCTTAATGAAGTTTCATGACAAGCAGTTTAGCTTTCGAAGGTTAGCTCGGACATGCGGACAGATAAAAAAGATTGTTAATTTTATAGCATCTTAGTAACAATCAAATTACCCCTTGAGCTTAATAGAAGCCAGTTTTCTTCTATACTACATATAGACAGACACTTTAATTTTATTTGTACATCTATATACATATAGATGTGCATATATAAGTTTGTTCAAACAGGCAAGTGTCTTCAAACATTTTTGTATAGAATGTTAAACGATCGGTTATACGGTTTGACGCACCGGTTCTATGTTTTGTTTCAGGCAAGGAAATGTCTGCGTGCTGCCCCATTGCTTGCCCCATTTCACTTGTTTTCGAGATATTTCTTAAGTTCTCAGACCATGAGCTAACACGTCTTTCATCTATTATATCGCTTTTTTGCGCCCGAAGCAATAAGGGCAACCCTCCGGAAAGCGGGGGAGGGAGGCGGTGAATGCTCATAGCACGCAGCCGGCTGCGTGGTTATGTGGAGACTTTTACCCATTAAACGCCGCCTTTAGAGATTAGCTTGCCGATCTGACGAGAGATCTTTAAGCCGTAGACGGACGCGACCCCTTGGCAGAAAGGAGGGCGCAAATGGTAAAAAGCCGCTTAGAAATGTGCCTAACTGAGGCAGATTAAGGGATGTATTAAGTAGGCTCGGCCTGAGCCGTCAGGAGGCAGTTAAGGTCAGGCGAAAGCTTGTTGGGGGGGGGGTCCGCGAGAGAGTTTCTCAGTCTGCGCAAACTATAGCGAGTGTGAAGAGGGGCTGCATAGGCAGCTGTCTAACGAATGAGGCGATTTGAGTGGGACTCTGAGGATTTGAAAAATCTCTCAGAGAGTGATTTGAGGATAGTATATCGCTTGTGTGTAGCAAATAGTGAAAGGCGAATCAATTAAGTTGAAGGTTGCTTAGACTAATTATTTGAGTTTTTGTCACAAGAGACAAACAACAATATGCTTTTGTAACATGTGTTATTCATCACGGGAAGTACAATACTGCATGTTCGAAAATGTAGTAACGTCGGAATATATGTTAATAAAATGGAAAGTTATACAGGATAGTCCGTGAGATGAGGCAATATGAAGTTTGGAATTTTTGAAATTTGGAATACTTATTCTTTTTTAAAATAAAAACAAATTCGAAAAAATCAAATAGAAGGGAATGAGGAATTTACTCGATGTATCATCAATTATATTGGATAAAATTTATTACGAACATTTCTTAAGCGGGAATCGAGCTCACTCAATAAACAAAATGACAGCCGGTGTCAATTTCTTCACTGCATAGAGTTTCTTAGCACTGACTTCAGAATGTGGAATTATTTTTTTCTTTTGTATTGTTTGAAGTCGGTCTCTAATTTTTTTTAAATAAAACAAATTTTTGATCATTTTGAGGGAATTACGGAACATGAAAAGCTCGATCGTCATCTAAATAGTTACATTCAAAACTATAACCACTATTTTTCTATCCCCAGGGATAGAGTTATTTTATAAATTTATAAGGAATCAACTCTGAAGTACGAGTATATTAGGATGATGATATCTTCGACAATTGTCAACCGATTTAAATGGTTTTTTCACCTCTGTTTTCGAAACTCAAGTTCTCATTAGCTCTTCACGTTTGCAAGTCCTAGAAAGATATTCTGACTATTGCTACGAGGATTTCCCTTCGTATGTGTGTGTGATCTCAAATATAACATTTTCGAAAAATTCTTTTTTTTAAATAACTTTAAAACTAAGGTATCGATTACAAAACAACATCAATACCCGCAAACTGTATCAAAATCGGTTCACTCCTTCGAGAGAAATCTTGAATTTGTTTTAAAAAAAATTATGACGTTTTAAACGTCTTATTAAATGGACTTTGGAGCGCTTGCATTTTTGAAATTAGCGGAAAGTCGCAGGGATGTCCTCTAGGGTCTACCGTATTTTTTACTAAATAGGTCTTTGAGGCTGGTCTAATTAAAATTTGCAGAAGTTTACCTATTATATGTGGAAAAATAAGTGGCGAAATTTTATTGTAAGACGACATTTTGATGTAATATTGGTTACTCCTTATACCACTCAAAGTTTCAAATTAATAAATATAAAAAATTGAAAATCAACACATATATTTTATTCTTTTTTGAGGTTTTTACATATTTTAACTTTAATTATTATATATATTTGTTAGTTAATACTGGGAATGCCACGAATACTACTAATATTTAGGTTTCACTCCATCTAAGCTTTGCAACTGTAAGTGCTTGTGCTAGGAGTCGGTCATGACATTCGAACCGCGGATTGGAATCCACGTTCTATTACTTTTTCAGTCCGTGCCCTTTCACTAAGCTACTGTTACCTATAAATCATTGTTATTATCACATGATATTATGTATTATATCATCACTATTTTGGTCATATCAGCGTTTCACACGTCCATTACTGAACAAAAGCCTCGCCACAAACACGGCACTGGAACATTATTGAGTAAGTATTTATTTTTATTAATCTAATTATATTATGATATATTTATTTTTATAATTAAATATTCCTTATATAATTGACCTTTATAAGACAGAAGACACAAGTATAATATAAAATAAAAATATGGAATTAAAAGTAGAGTTAAATATTTTAAATTAAAATACTTATATTTTTTTTAATTTCGACTAGAGCAAAAGTAAAAACACACATTGAGGCAAAATTCTGATTGCTTACCGTTTCTGTAAACTTGGTTGCATTCACTGAATATACATAAAATATGAAACTGTTTTGTGTCGCCGTTGCGCGATCTACGCTATTACTGAGTGCTCGTGCGCAGATTTCCAGACTTTTTGCAATTCACAGGCTAAGATCGTGATTTCTGTACAAGTATTATTTCGTGGTTCTGTTTGGAATACATTTGAATTTGAAAATTAAGATGATACCAGCTGATTAGAGTTTATAATTTAGTGTGGGTGACAAACGAGCACACAGCCCAACGGATGGTAAGCCATAATTTTGGTCCAATACCACCTAGATCTATCCTCGAGAAAGTATCAAAATATGGATGCATTGTCATTCCTGAAGATTAAGATGGAATGCCCCGTCACTAATAAAAAGTTACCACGTGCTCGGCGGTGAAGGAAAATGTCGTGAGAAAACTTTCATGTTTTAGAAAGTCAAAATAAATATTTCGACGATACGTGTAGTCCGCCCATACGCATTGGGGCAGGCGTGACGAATATTTCCTAGCCCTAAAACCGTAACAAAACAGCGACGACACCTATGTCTAGCTGTGGTTCGTTGATAGCCTTTACTTTACTTTATTTGCTTTATTTTGTCAACTACGTTAAAAATACATCATTATATGAAATTACTTTTGTACGTGGTAGAGCAACGTTGCAGCTATATTATAGTTGTAGCACGAATGGGTCGGCTCGACCGGGGCAGGATCACGCTCTCACAGAATACCAGCGTAAAATAGCAGTGTAATGCTGCTGTTTTACACGTGGGTATTGTGTGGTGCTGGTTGCTGTTAAATATTAACGAGACCTCGTTTCGTCGTACAAGTGAACCTTTACGCAAACTGTAAAATCCACGTAGCCGTTTACTTTACTTTATATATAACGAAGAACGTTTAGTTTTTGTTATATATATGTAATTCATTTATTTAACCCATCCATCTCAATCTATTACAGTTTCTAAAAGTCCACTGTTGAATATTGCTTGGCAGGCGACGAAAACTGCTTTTATAATTTTGAGATGTTATGAGGAAGACACTGCTGCTCATTTCCTGTTTGAGTTTTGCTCTGTCTCCTCTAGCCATACCCGAAGGAACAATATGAGGTATGGATATTCTCACTCCGCCAACACAAGGTTATTCATTAATCAAAAGTCTAGCAAAGTCTAATCCTGAATAAAGGTCCCTGAAATAGATTGCCTTGTCGCCCCGCCTGACAGGTGGATTCGCAGCAATGGCACGCAATGACTGTAACCACATAATAAGGAATAAAGAATGTTAATTGTATATTTAAAACTGATCAAACATTTCCTTATTGGCAAACAAACATATGGAGTGTAAACCTGCACGTCTGAGACATAAAGTATTTCATGGACATATATGTATATCATATCACCCTCTAAGAAATGGAAAGAGGCACCTGCCCATCATATGGGGCCGTATATAGGCTGTAAATTTTACGCTTTATTACCTGTGTTACATTCAGTGGGGCAGCAAAGGGCACAATTTTATTGAGTAGCATCTTGGGTATTACGTAAATGATGATAGTAAATTCTCAAAAACTCTGCAAATATTTTGCATTTAAATATTTTGTATTAAAATAACGCGAAAACTATCACATTCGAAATATTGAAAATAGAGATTATTCTCAAACACACGCACCCACGCATATACTCACGGATGGACGCACGCACACATGCTGAGGATATCATCATCATCATTTCATCATTACAGCCTTTCACAAGTCCACTGCTGAACATAGGCTTCCCCCAAAAAATGCCACAAAGCACGATCCTGAGCCACCTGAAGCCATCGACTTCCTGCATGACTTACCAGGTCGTAACTCCATCTAGTGGGGGTTAACCTACACTACTCCTACCAGTACGAGCCTGCCACTCGAGAACCTTTCTTCCCCATCGGTTATCGGTTCTTCGAGCTATATGGCTGGCCCATTGCCACTTCAGCTTACTAATCTGTTGGGCTATGTCGGTTACTCTGGTTCGACTACGGATATCCTCATTTCTGAATTTATCACGCAGAGAAACCCCGAACATAGCCCTCTCCATAGCTCGTTGAGCGACTTTGAGCGTCCTTATACGGCTAGCAGTGGAGGACCACGTCTCAGATCCGTAAGTCATACACACGCCACGACAACACGCACTGGTTGTACAATCCAGTTTTCCGAGTTTGAGGTATACCTGACGAGAAGATATGTCGTAATTTCCTGAACGCTGCCCAGCCGAGTTGAATTCGTCGATTGACCTCTCGGTCGAAGTTGGACTTACCTAGTCGGACTATTTGTCCCAGGTATACGTACTCGTCAACAACTTCGAACAACTACCAGCATAGGTGTGACACGGACATTAAACATGATCTTTGTTTTGTCCATGTTCTTTGTTTTGTCAATATTCGGTGAGGATATAAAAATAATTAAATTGTTTTATTTATTTTTTAAATACAAAGACTACTACCGAATTTTACAGATTTTATATTTTCAAGATACTTCTGATAACGACGTGAGGAGGAGTAAGGTTCGTATTTTTGGCTCAGCTGGCTCTTGGCGGCAGAAATCCACGCTGGGACACTGGTAACATTCACCATCATCACCACTATAGCCCTTCATAACTCCAGTGCAGAACATAGGCCTCCACGAGGAATGCCACAAAGGAATTTCCCTGAGTCACCTGCATCTATCCACTTCTTGCATGTTTTACCAGGTCGTCACTACATGTAACGCGGGATCGCAGAGTATTCGCTTGCCAGTACAAGGCTTCCACCCGAGAAAATTTCGGCAATAACGTCTTCCCCGCCCGATAAGCGTGGTAACAACGAGTATGTGTAATACTCTTTCCTTAATTAATTCCTGGCTACAGTGTTGAGATACATCAGCCTATACTCGTATTTATATCTACTGTTCCACCATGTGCCCGGCGATGAAGGAAAACATCGTGAGAAAACCTGCATGTGTAACAAATAATAAAAAAAATTATTACGAAATTGGGGTGCGGCAGACGTTCCCGAAATGAGGTAGGCTTGTGCACAGAAGTGGGACGTAAATTGAACTGTAATTTTACTGATTCCTTTAAAGAATTTAAAGTCTTCACTTTACTGGTCTTTCATATACTCTAAATGAAATATAGCTGTATTATTTTATCAAAAAGCGTCTCTCTAATGCCTCTAATCACAGAGTACATTATATATAATGTTGTTCTCACGTCTTATCATAAACTGCTTTTATCACTATTTCATAAATTATACCAGAGCATGCTTTGCCTTTTATTTTTTTTTGTGGAAGGGTAGGTAATTTGTTTATTTCTCGCTATTGAGTTTAATTTTTGATCTTTGATATTCCAACAGGGTGAGTTTTTGTATTACCGTTTCTTTTTCGAGGGCCTTTAAAGAAAAATCTGGTATTAAATACAATCAAGAGAAACGATAAATAATTTCAACCTATCAATTCAAGAGAACTTATTGGATTATTCTGAAGGTTCTGAAGAATGAAAATTTTAATATACCTTTAAATACTTCAAAAATCATTCATGTATACATCTATCACGACCTTGAAAAGGTTTACCTAACTACTTTACTGATTTTTGGTGATGTTGAGAAGCCAAAACAACTGTTTGAAAGAATACGAAATAATTGTGTTACAATTTTGTAATACTGGAACGTAATAAAAAAAAACAAAGGAATTAAAATTAAAAAAATACAGTCCATCTATTCATTACAGCTCTAAAAGTCCATTGTTGAAAATTGGCTCTTAGAGACTTCCTCTCAGAGGGAATTTGCCACATAGTTGCCACGTTTGGCAAGCGGGTTGACGCCCGCAGTTTTCTTTTATACATATGAGTTGTTACAAGGAAGATGCTGCCCATCTCTTGTTTTGGTTCCCTTTGTCGCCTCTTAAAATACCCACGAGACGATATCATCATTCATCATCATTACAGCCCTTCACAAGTCCACTGCTGAAGATAGGCATCTTCCAAGGTATGCCACAAAGCACGGTCCTGAGCCACCTGCATCCATCGACTTCCTGCATGTCTTACCAGGTCGTCACTTCATCTAGTGGGGGGGGGGGTAGTACACCTTCAAAGTATCAAAAATAAATAAAATCATTTCCATATACTTCTGAAATCCGGGGTCTAAAGACTTCAGCAGCTATTGAGTGATTTTTTCTTTTTAGTTCTCTAAGAGCTACTGTACCTGGAGGTCTGTTTTTATTTACTTTATTTTAAAATCTTTATTACGTCCCCTTAGAAAAAAATGATACAAAGGGCTGACTTAATGCCAAAAGTTATTCCCTACCAGTCAACACATAATTTTTTTAAAAGTTTGATTTTGTTTCTTACAAATATCATAAAGTTTCCGGCACGACTTTTAAGCATTAAAACAAAAACACGGTTACTGTTGTAGTTCTGAACAGTTTTTTTTAATTAAAAATGTCTTTAAGCACGTTGGGCACTTTTGGGATGAGGAAAAAGCATTGAACTCGCGTGAATGTCATGCTCAGATACATATATTCACATGTTTGTATCATATAGATAATAATCATTCTTTTTCATGTAAAAGAGCGCAATAAATGAAAATTTTATTACTATATTAATACATTGATAAAAATAATTTCTATTAAAAATTACTTCCTAAAAAATATTTCTTAACAACCCAAAAATAATGCTTACAAGTTTATGAAGCTAAGAAATGTTCATTTTGCCGTGCAGTTCTAAGACTGACGTTCTCGTCCCTGTGGACTAAGATGGAATGCCTCATTTTCAGTAAAAACGGTTTTTTATTCTCTGCACTCACCATACATCACAGTAGCAACGTAGCGTTAAGCTGCTATTTCACGCTGGTATTCTGTGAAAGCTTGGTCTTTCCCCGGTCAAGCCAATTAGTTGTAACGATTTCAGATTTAAAAACCATCCATTTTGATCAGCAGCAATGCGAAGAATATGAAAAATATAGTTTGCTAATTAATAGAATCAGGCGTTTCTTGGCAGAAATCTGCAATATTATATTATAGTTGTTAAATTAATTAAGTAGAAGAGCATCACCTTTTCAATAGAAGTAAGGTTGACATACAAGCACACAGTTCACCTGATAGTAAGTCGATACTGTGGCCCATAAATCTATTTTCGATTAAGAAGTATAATGCAGTAGATGCGTTGTCACACCTGAGGACTAAGATGGAACGCCTTGTTAACGGTAAAAAGGGTCTACAGTTCTCTACAGCCACCATACAAAACTCAACGCTGCAGTTTTTATGTGTTGATATTTACCACGTGGCCTTACTATACTTTTATAACAACGTAAAATACTGACATCACATTCCAAGAATATAAATATCAATTTCAAATTCCTTTATTCGCTTGCAAAAAATGGGTTACAATCGTTTTTAATAATATCAACAAAAATACTACCATATTATACTTGTGAGCAAGCGAATTAAATACGAGTCATATTTTAATAATTATAATTGAAAGTTATTATGACTCGTTAAAGTAATCTATTCTCCGTAAGCTGGCGATAACAATAAAATACTTGACGAAACCCACTGGCTCGGGAGATCCACAAATTAGTTGCTCAAGTGGTTTCGAGTTACTACTCTACAAAAAAGGTTTGTCATTACAAACTATAACAAAAACATACAGAAGTGTACAAGTTTTATACTTTTGTGTATCCTATACCTTTAAACGAGCAATTCCAATATATTGTATATATAAGGGATGTATATATATATATCATCATCATCATCATCATCAAAAAATCATCATCATCATCATTACAGCCCTTCACAAGTCCACTGCTGAACATAGGCCTCCCCCAAGTAATGCCAAAAAGCACGGTCCTGAGCCACCTGCATCCATCGACTTCCTGCATATCTTACCAGGTCGTCACTCCATCTAGTGGAGGGTCGCTCTACACTACGCCTACCGGTTCGAGGCTGCCACTCGAGAACCTTTCTTCCCCATCGGTTATCGGTTCTACGAGCTATATGGCCGGCCCATTGCCACTTCAGCTTACTAACCCATTGGGCTACGTCGGTCACTCTGGTTTTACTACGGATATCCTCATTTCTGAGCCTATCACGCAGAGAAACTCCGAGCATAGCCCTCTCCATAGCTCGCCGAGCGACCTTGAGCGTCCTCATACGGCCAGCAGTGAAGGACCACGTCTCAATATATATATATATATATATATATATATATATATATATATATATAATCAAAATCTCGGAAACGGCTCCAACGATTTTCATAAAATTTTGTGTCCAGGGAGTTCGGGGGCAATAAATCGATCTAGCTAGGATTTATTTCTAGAAAATATCTTTTTGTCCGTATTTTCAGGCAACGAATAAGTGCTACAATATAAGAAGGTAAATTTTGACACTGTGTTAATGATCTTAATAGCTCAAGTGGATATCGAGCGGTTGCGAAATCGTAATGCCTTGGTTCGAGTCCTGCCTTCGGTCCGACATTCTTCCTTTTTTTTTTCAAGATCTCTTGTGTGAGAATATCTGTTATTTCAATCCCTTTTTTAGTATTTAAAAAAAAAAGAAAATTTTAATTAAACTAATTGCACTCATGGTTTTTTATTCAAATAACCAGTTCAGTTTTTTCTATTATGTCAATAAGGTCAAAAAATGTTATTCATGTTTCATCAGTATGTAATTTGTATCTAAATGTAATTTCAAAAAAAAAAAAACTGAGCTGAGCTCGGTCATCCAGGTACTTCTTTGTAATATAACAAACACGTAGATATATATTTATTATATTAGTGGCATAAAAAGCAAAATGTAAGCGCAAATATACTTGGAAATCGAAAAGGTCCGTTTTAGCGGTTGGGTCAAAAATGTATTCTTTTTTCCAATTCTCATTTATTTTTAGTGTAAAATGTAAATAAAAATAGTTTTATAACATATTTAAAATAACTTGACGTTGTATTTATTTCACATTCACACAAAAATATATTTGAAATATTGTTTGAAATTTCATACAAATAACAATAAATTTCGGATTTCTTTTTTTAATTTATTAATATTTTGGTATGAGTAACGAATAGAAAAACACAAAACATACGTATTTCCAAACATTTTCATATAGATTTCTCAAAAAACAAACGTGTGGAATTTAAATTATTAGTACTTTTGTGACTAAAAATTAAGTATCTACTACTACTAGCTTTAAAGGGTAATTTATGAATTTTATTACAATTTCTAGCAACTAAAAATAATTTTATTCGATAGTTTATACATTCAACAAGAATTCCTGTAAGTTTTATCCATAAATATTGTCTCAAAGTATATAGCAAAATTTACAAGTTAGCAAAAAATTTGCAATTCCCGCCATTTTGGCGATGAGCCAACAGGAGTATCAAATTACGTGACCTTCTGAAGGTAACAGGTCGTATTACCAACATCACAAAAAATACACTTGATTTAAACACTATAATATAATTTCAATGTTACAAAATTTAAAAACAATGTAAAGTATTATTTTTTATCTCAATTCAACAAAATTTATTGTTCAATTTCAATAATTATCAAACAAATATACATCGATATTATTAGTATACCCTTAAAACAGCACACGGTCACCTATACTCATCACCTCTAAAAGTCTCCGGTTCTCTACACTCACCATACGAAACACAGCAGCATTAAGCTACTATTTGACGCTGGTATTCTGTGAGAGCGTGGTCCTTCCCCGGTCGAGCCGACCCATTCGTGCTAGAACTATATTACTAATATAACTGTAGCTACCACGTGTAAACAAAATTCGTAAATATTGGTAAATGCCGATATAAATACGGCGCGATATCCTTAGAATAGGCCGCGTAGTGGCTGCGTAAGAGAATCCCTTACCACCATATTATAATCCCGTGTGTCATGAGAGGAGACAGAGGGAAACTGAGACAGTAGATTATTGTTACCAGTTCAAAATAATAAAAAACTGCGATCGCTAATCCGCGTGCCTTTTTTTTTTGCATGGGGAAATGCCTACGCATACCCGCCTCGCGGGGGCAAGGACGGGTTATGTCGGACTCGCACCGACTAAAACCCCATGGTGTTCCACCTTTGTCGCATATTGGCAGGGCTACGGGAACGCTTTCGCACACATCCGCGGCCCTACTAGCGCCTGCCGCCCCATGGCAGCACCTCCTCGGGAGAGGAAAATTCCTCCCCGTTCTCCTTCCCAGGTAAGGCGCACCAGAACACATGGCGCGCCTTCCTCCACGGCCTCCAACTACGTCTGTGCAACAGACGCCCCCGCGTCCGATGCACAAAGGCCATGGGGCCAGGAAAAACGAGCACTTAGAAGTACTAGCCTTCCCGACCCCAGCGGCGGATCTGGTCTATGGCTCCGCCGCCAACCAAGATTCGGCTGCGGAGGGTAGGGAGAGCGGCGCCTCGCAATACCGACAATCCTCTCCCCCCGCAGCCCCACCACCACCGCATCAACGGTGCGGCCCCGTTTGAGTCGCGAAGGATAGGGCGAGTGGCGCATCGCCATACCAACACTCCTCTTCCTCCGCGACTC